TTATTATTATTATTATTATTAATCATAATAATTAAATAATCAATGAAGTAATTAGGTGCCTATTTCATAATCGGTCTGGTCACGTCAAATAACGGCTCACTTGTATGTGGCCGCTTCTCGTCTCACTGTCTCTCAGGCTCGTCTACCTGCTCATGGTCGTCCTTCTGCCCATCTCCTACCCTCTCGCAAAGTTGCTTGACTGTTTGCTCGGCACGGAACACGCATCGTTCTTCCGCCGTGCCGAGCTCGGCGTTCTCGTTGACCTTCACGGCGACGAACACATAGAGAATGAAGAACCGCTGACTGAGGACGAGGTTCTGATCATCCAGGTGAGAGCGGCGGGCGTTCGTACGGCCGAGTTAGATCGCGGCCCAGAGAGAAGCGCAACTCCGGATAGTGGCACTAACACTGGTGTCAAGACGTAGCAGACGATGACAATAATTATTGTCAATTTTTTTTTGCTGATATTGAAAATTGTTGAAATTATGATGAAAAGAGATGGATTAAAAAAACTAGTTCATGCAGACCTCAGAATATATGAAGCTAGAAAGGTGATTTCAATGCCGTCTTGACTCTACTAACTTATTTTTAAACTAGGGGGCTCTGCAAATGAGAGACAAGACAGTGAAGGATTCCATGGTACCTCTAGAGAGTGTCTTCATGGTCAGTATAGATGAAAAAGTGGACCGTCCAACCCTGCAGAAGGTGACTAGTTACTCCTACTTACGTGTGGATGGCATTGGTAGTCACATTCATAGAACATTGTTAGAAATGCTATGTTATCCTATCTCAAATGAAACGTTTATCGAGGCAACGTCTCAGGTGAACACATACGTACATCTTTAGCTTGCGCGTTCCCATGGTGGCGCCCTATCACAGTGACCATTTTTACAGATCCTTCAAGCAGGGCACTCGCGCATTCCGCTGTACAGTGGCAGTAAGGAGGACATCGTTGGCTTGATCCTGGTGAAGCGGCTGATGTTGTATGATGCAGGTGAAGCCAGAGGTCTCGCAATCAGAGAGGTGATTGCAAGAGACATTCACAGGTGGGTGAGACAGCACTGTGCTGCAATATCATCTTATTGTGTTGTGATGTCAGTTGTAATGTGCTGCACTGTGATACAATAACAACTTTATTGTGTTGTACTGTGCTGCAATGCCAGCTGTCATAGTGCACTGGTAACTGGCTGCACTGTGCTGTAGTGTGCTGTCATTATAATAGAGCCACTGTCTTTCCAAAATTTCTGTTGGTTAATAAGGTGGTATAAATATATCTATTGAAAAACAATCATTTATTTTGTTATCATATAGAGTAAAACAGTTCTGTACAAATCCTCATTCAAATACTTATGATAATAAGAACCATAATTTATTAATTTTTTATTGCACATATTACATTAAACATCGTCACTCGCCTGCACAATATATCAATATAAAATATATCCTAATACACAGTAAAACCAATAGAACACTTCGTGGCAAACAAGTACATTACAAATGCTGTGGCTCGCCACAATAATAAAGAAATAATACAGCTACTCCACTCTCACCATCTTTCTATCTCAGAGCATTCCGGAAGGCACCCATCGTGCGAGACACGACACCTCTCTACGACATGCTGAATGAGTTCCAGCTAGGACGCTCCCACCTGGCGATAGTTGAGGCTGCACCCAGCCCATCAGATGGCGTCACTGCCTCCAGCAAGGTGCACACGAGATTGAGTCTGTGGGAATCACTTATGGGTCTCATGGTAACCTTGGGAGATGTTGTCACATGTCGGGTGTCTAGGTTGAAGCTAGCGCAGCGATGCCTGCAAGCAAAATATGCCCAAGGTATTGCTGGCTTGCAGTAGCCATGGTAGAGCCATATACATATACAAATATATAATCACAGATTCTTAAAAATGTGTTAGAGGAATTGCGGTGTCTCTGGCTTTGAGATCGATTGCCAATAGGTGGTGTTAGCAGTGTAATATGTATGGCAGGTGGTGGGAATCATCACACTAGAGGATGTGATTGAGGAACTAATACAGGAGGAGATCATAGATGAAGACGATGTCTACGTTGACGTGCACAAACGCATCCGTGTCGCCCGCTCCTTCATCAGACAGGTAAGACTTGCATGTAACACAAGAGCATTCATGTCGACTGCTGCCGAGAGGTGCCGAGAGGGGAGGTGGGTGCACGAGACATTGCAAACACGAGTAGTGAGTGATGCCATAGATATGATTAGCCATATATGAGCCATAGATATGATTAGAAGCAGTGCATGTGCAAATGTGAGGCTGAGTTGGAGCAGTGATGGTGCACAGGACAGAAATGGCAGTAGATGTGGCCAGGCTCATTGTACATGCATGTGGAAAGGTTACACTATAAAATGGGATTAACAGACAAAACACGGCCTAAACACGTAAATTAAAGGCTCGAGAGATGTATAGTTGAACCATATGGCAATAAAGAGGAAAATAGGTAATCGTCACTAGAGATGCAACATCTCTGAGTGAGGAAACTGCTGTGAGACAATGGCTGAGTGAAGTGGAAATCAGAACTGTTGTACTGTTTCATTCAGAAGAAATGCAACCCTGCTAACCCTTCCAACCCTTCTCTTCCATTTGTCAGCCCACGCTTGTAAACAGTGCTTGTGACACCAATGAACTGGCATTTCCATGGCGAGGTTTGCCGTAACACCAGCCTAATCGCCATGGTAACGATGGCGGCGACACTGACGCAGTCGCCTTCCGTTTCAGGTGTCCACACGTAATCTTCTCCAGCTTCCCAGCAGGGCTGGAGTGCTGCGCGTCGGCACAGCGGCGTCGATGATAACGGAGTCGCCGCATCCGACCACGTTCACCATCTCGCCCCGAACATCGCCCCTCGTCCGGTCCCTGCCGTCGACCCCGCCCTCCCACGCTGACGACGACGTAGAGCCTCTCCTTCCCTGATCACGTCGACATTTTTCGTTCACTTCGAAACTTTATTGTCGTTTCTCTCTTGTTTCTTTCTATTGGTTTCTCTGACTTGCTTTGCTTGTTGGTCCGGGTATAGCCTTTGGGAGCCTCTTGCGTGAGAGTGATGCATTAGAGGATGATGTATGCTTCTCATAATAGACGTCATACGATCACTTCGAGAGCTGCACGAATGCCCAATTTACTCGTGTGTGTGTATGTGTGGGAGGGTGTGGGTGTGTGTGTTGGTGCGTGTGAACGTTTGCACGTATGTTCCACTGATAACTAACCCATCAGTTACTGCTAGCAGTCACCCACAGAGGAGCACTCCCCATGACTTGTCATCAGTAGCGGTTTCACTGATATCATACGTCTTCTACCTCGTTTACCATTTGCACTGATTCAATCCAATGTGGCACTAACTAATACAACCAATTGGTATCTAGCTGTTTACTGGCTACTACATATCTCTTCAATTATCTTACACTTTACAGGATGCACAGTTGTTTCTATTATATGTTATATGTGAAAAGCAAAACATTGAGTCTCTTGTAGTTACTGACCTAAATACGTAGTCGTCGTTAATTGTTTTTTTATATAAACTGTTGAAAATAGATGGAAGATAAACGTATAGATATACATATAAGATATATATACCATACTTATTTATGTTGGTATTTCGCACTACTATTAATACTTTATCATGCACACATGCACGGGCAAGCATTTAAATATATATCAGGAGCTTATAAATGGATAAGCTCTTATATATATGCTGTATATATAAGCTCCTGTATATATGTATATGTCTAGCAGGTGTGTGAAATCGGATTCGCACTTAGTTCATGATTGATCTTCCTAACCAGGGATGTTTGCATGTAGGGTGGCCCTGCATGCGACTACTTTGTGTCTATATGATCTCATGTAACCTTATTCTTGGGCCACCTACTCCGCATTACCCCACATTCCCTTGTCTGTGTCCGTAGTGTTCCATCAGAAACCTACAGCTACAGCATGGATATACCTCGGACTCCCGTGGCCCGAGCAAGCTGCCAAGCGTTTACAACTCCGAGGAGATGAACGAGACGTCACCGCTCGTTTTGAAAGTACCCCCTCGTGATGACCACTAGATGGGAGCAAGGTCAGCACTCGTTCATCTCGCCCTGCCCCGACTTCAGTGTCTCTGGGTGTGCTAGTGCTGAGAGGCAGCTGATATGGCAACTGTAAGTTAAAGGACAATTGAACTCAAATTTCACAACTTCTGTAACGTTTTTATACATAGAAATACATTCAATAACGTATTCCATTTCAAATCTGGCGCCCAATTAGTAATAAACACATAGAAATAATAAGCTCCATTCTAAGTTGAGCAGACGTCATCACTTCAATGCATGCAACATTATGCTGTTGTTGCCCTTGATTAAAGCCGCACTATGCGCATCCAAACGCTAATTTCTCCAGTACTAGACTAGCAAATACTTCGTGTCATGCATAATCACATTACCTTATGACAAAATAAACTCTAGTTCCTCCCATTTCACTGCGCGTTGTCTTATAAATGCATTTGAAAATACCTCCAATGTTGTTCAAATTCTCCGATGTTGTTGACACTTTCGCGTTGCCCTGCCAAGCAACTGCACAGCGGTGCTGCGGTACAAGGGTACGGGTGTAGCAAAGATAAAAACATGTGACGTCACCTAACCGATTCTTGGCGAAATTGTTTGGCAAACAATTTAGCGTTGGCGCCAGATTACCAGATTTCGCACCTCTTTCTTGTGGGTTTTAAGCAAACGCGCAGTGAAATGGGAGGAACTAGAGTTTATTTTGCCATAAGGTAGTGTGATTATGCATGACACAAAGTATTTGCTAGTCTAGTACTGGAGTAATCAGCGTTTGGATGCGCATAGTGCGGCTTTAAGGGAGACATAACAATATGTCAACTGAGTAAACCTGCCATCCTCAGGTTGGACAAATTAAATTCTCCTGCCTATATGAGTGATGTTTGTTGTACCAAATAAATAATTATGGTATATTGATTTTCTTTGATCGTTTAGCTTTCTGACAGTGATTGCATGTTTATGACATGCACATTATGATTTCTAGTGTTTTGTGATGTCACAATGATTGCCTGATTGTGTAATGTTTCACAATGCTCCAGTTTAGAAAATGTGATATTCGATAAGCGATAAGCGTGATAAGCGATTCAGGATGTGTTTTTTTCTGATACATGGCAATTATAAGCTAGTTCGTAGTTAGAGTCTGCGCATGCGCGAACTTTGCTACGAATTCTTGCCAGTCAGGTCATTTGTGACAAAATATTTCGTATTTCGACCGCACAGTACACATATGCATGCATCTATGTCGATGTAATGCTACAGTCTTCGCGTGTGCACGTACACGTGCGTGCGTGCGTGCGCAGGTACACGTGCGCGCGCGCGTGCGTGTGCACGTACACGTGCGTGCGTGCGCGCGTACACGTGCGTGCGTGCGCGCGTACGTGTGCACATAGACATGCGTGTGTGCATGCATGCGTGCGTGTGTACGTGTGCGTGCGGTGCGTGCGTGTGCACGTACACGTGCGTGTGCACGTACACGTGCGTGTGTGCGTGCGTGTGTGCGTGCGTGCGTGCGTGCGTGTGCACGTACAGGTGCGTGTGTATGCACGTGCAGGTGCGTGCTTGCGTGTGCACGTACGGGTGCGTGCTTGCGTGTGCATGTACACGTGCGTGCGTGCGTGCATGTGCATGTACACGTGCTTGCGTGTGTGTGCACGTACACGTGCGTGCGTGCGTGCGTGCGTGTGCACGTACACATGTGCACGTACACATGCGTACGTGTGTGTGTGCACGTACAGGGCGTGCGTGCTTGTGCACGTACACGTGCGTGCGTGCGTGTGCACGTACACGTGTGCGTGCATGTGTGTGCACGTACACGTGCGTGCGTGCGTGTGCACGTACAGGTGCGTGCGTGCGTGTGTGTGTACGTACACGTGCGTGCGTGCGTGCGTGCGTGTGCACGTACACATGCGTGCGTGTGCACGCACACAGAATACATGTACATATACGTACGGATTTCATCGATTTTTGTCACAAATGACCCGGTGGCCTGTGACGTCACACAACCCCTTGGCTAACTACGAGATGGCTTATTTACTTGACCCTGTCAAGCAGCATAACTATTACATACATGAGGTGTAATTGTCTTTTTTCCAGCTGATGCTGATCAGCTGGTGTTGTAGATATTCTGCATAATATTTAGACGATCATAAAACTACTGTAATCAGCATGCTCATTATATTGTCATCAAGTGGAAATGTTAACATAATTGCATATTATCAAGAGCCCATCAATATTCTATACTTAAATTTAAAAAAATTAATGGGTTAAATACGCATAATTCATTGTGATTCTTTAACACGACATGATTATTGTATACTGTTTTGTATAAAAACGGGTTAGTATGGCCAAATCTTCAGTTGAAAAACATTTGGTATGGTCTATCATGTTTGCTCTCTGAACAGTTGTAGTAGACATGGTATGATAACAGGCACTCTCATTATACTACAATAGTATCAGGAGTGGATAATAGAGATCTCTATTATCCACTTCTGATAGTATGTTACTTTTCCCCAAATGAACAGATGGTTTATGTGTGGCACCATTATTAGTGCCTAGGGTATTACTTCTGTATACAGGGTGGATCCTCACAGATTGTCACCTGCTCTCTGTGGTTTATTTCTGTGATATTATACAAATTTGACTACAATATAGTTTTACCTATATGTGCAGAGTGATATAATAATTTCAGTTTGTGGTAAGTGCGAATCAAATTGGGAGCACGTCAAATTGTATGTTGGACGTTATTGCCATGTCCACATGACTGTGCTTATTTTCATTGTTTTAGTTTATAACTAATGATGTACATGGTGAATTAAGAAAATTGTAACCAAAATATATATGCTGTGAAATATACACATGAATCAATAATTTGAATAAACAGGAGAAAAATTATAATGATACAGTTCTATTTAGTTTATAAATAGTTTTGTTATTGTTCACTCATGTTCAGACCGACTGATCCTAACCATGCTGTCAGCCTGTCACTGTCAGCCGGACGCCTTTCTCTGGTCACTGCATGTGTCACCTGGCCATAGTGTCAGCCTGTAATTGTGCCATCCAGCCATGCTCCTATGCAGTCACTGAGTCATTCACTCATGTTGTCATCTAGCCATGCTCTCATCTGTGCACATGGTTTCCCAGTCAACCAGCCATGATGTAATCCTTTCATGCTGATAAGCTGTCCCTGAGTTACCCAGGCCTGATAACAATGTAATCATTATAT